AGCCGTTAGCGGGCCTGCCCCGGGCTCGAGTTATCTTAACAATGGACACAAAAGCAACTGGCCTGGGATAATAGCGAGCAACACTATCGTTTGCCAAGCTTGTTCTCAGAGTAAAGGCTTTTTCCAAACTTATCAGTCTTCCCTGACTTCTGATTTGGTTAACGTTCATTTTGTTGATACTATTGTTGTAACGGTAGCACAGGCCGACATATCACCGCTCAATAACGCCTTGTGTGAATTTCCAAAAGGAGAACACGACAAGAAGTCCTTGAGTGTCAGGTGTACAGCATATTGAGGGCAACAAACACGTGTAACACGATGTACATCAAGCCAATCAGCTTCTCTCCTGACCTAGGCGCCGGTATGATTTGCTGGTGACTGAGTGACTGAAGTAAGCTTGAAGTTAAAATTATTGATCTATTGTCTGGCACCATGCGTTCGCTCGCGTGTAGGCCGATCAAAAGCCTACTGTGAACGCGGCTGCTGCTTGTATTTTAGCTGTGTGGTTCTTACTAACACCTACACTCCTTCAAGACATATCGTAAGATTTGAGTTGCGGGTTCACTTGTAACGGAACCGCTCGCATTCTTTTCCGACCTGATCGTCTAGAGGCTGGAGTTCCTGCCTCTTTGGCCCTGGGGCTCCTCGCAGAGAGGTCTGGGGAGTCGGCGGCAGTCGGGGTATTGGAGGATGGGGACGTTGTTGGGGCATCACGTCTTTCTCGCGCGCCGCTGCGAGTTAGCCGACCAGGTGTTTGACAGGGCTCAGAAGCCGCTGGTGCTTTCTCTCCCGGTTCCTGCTCCTTCTTCTCCTTGGGCACCTTGGCAGGAGATGGACACGCTGACAGCAGAGTTGTCGTGAGCTGATTCAATTTGGCGAGACTCGGCCAAGTTAAGTGCACACCATTGCAAAAGCGTTGAAGTGGCAAATCCAGGAGACCGAGTTTCTTGATCCAGTCAAGGCCAATTAATTCAATCTTCCGACGGTTGGTAAAGAAGCATCTTCCCTTGAGTTGAATGCCATTAAAGGAAGCCTCACATTGAAGCTTATTTATGAGCCGGAGAAATGTGTCATAGCCTTTTTGACCGATGTGATCATCAGCTGCAGACCAATCCTCGGCCAAGTGCGTTTGGAGATGAGGCTAATGTCTGACGCTGTTTCAGGTTGGACACGTACAGGTTTACCATTGATAGTAACCGTAAGATAGTTCCTCCTTGCCTCAAATTCAGTCTGGAATGTGGCTAGGATTGGGTTGGACTTTAGGCCAGAGTGAGATAAATGGCGTTTGGAACTTCTCGTCTTCCTGTCGCCTGTCCTTGATTTGAAGGATTAGCCTGTCGGGCAGTTGTCTTTCTTATGCTCTTGTTTATGACAATTTTGACAATCATGCTTTTTTGAATGTGCAGAAGCGAGCAAAGTGCCAGTCACCACACTGCCAGCTCGCTGATATTGGTTCGCTGGGTGTGGGATCTTGGGACTTCTGTGGCGGGATCGACTTCGTCCGAGTGACAGCATTAACATTATTGGCGGCAAACGAGGAACTGGGTTTCTCCACGATCGCAGAATCATTTTTAAGATTCTTGAGCCACTGACGTTTGGCCGTCAATATCTGCAGAGTAGAGTCGGGGTCCTGTTCAATCTTGGATAGCACACGCGTCTGGGTGTCAGCGTCACGACGTGACAGGAGGGCGCTCACAAAGATTAGGCACTTGAATTGGTCTGTCATCTTTCGGAGCTTGAATCTTTCGCACTCACGGTTGACAGTACTGGCGAGTGTTAGAAAATCATCTGTCTCCTTCTTGACTAGCTTTAGGCACTGGTAACAGATGTTGAACATGGAGGAATTCTCGTTGAAGATCTCTGATAGGCGGTTGACGGTTTTATCGAAAGTTAACTCACGAGGGTTTTCGGCAGAATGATATCCGAGTACCGCTTGTGTTCCCTTGTGCCCAATTTGCGTAATAGCAGGCTCACCTTCCATGCATCACCGGCCTTGGCAAATATAACATGAAATACGCCCCCCAACGTTTGAACTAATCGTCGAAAGTAACGGTGGAGTCGGGATCATAAAAGGACTCCGTGATAGACGCAGCAATTGCGTCTGGTGGTTTCACAGAAGCATCTGGGGCAGGAAAATGCAGGCTGATTTTATGCATCATGGACTTCATGTGAGCTGCCTCGAATTGATTTGCTGTTGTTGCAGGATTGCTAGCAATTGTTTTGAGGAACTGGACATGGTGAGTTCTTAAACTGCGTCGTCGAATTATGTAACGGTAGCCCAGGCCGAGATATCACCGCACAATAATACCTTCTGTGAGTTCTCAAAAGAAGAACTCGACAAGAGGTATACAACAGCAGACGTCCTTGAGTGTCAGGGGTACAACATATTTAGGATAACAAACGCGTGTATCACGAAGTCCATCGAGCTAATCAGCTTCTCTTCTGACAGGTGCCGGCATGATTGGCTGGTGAATCAGTGACTAAATGGAGCTTCAAATTTAAATTATTGATTGATGCGTTCGTTCTCGTGTAGGCCGATCGATAACCTACTATGAACGGGGTTGCTGCTTGTACGCCAGCTGGTTGGTCCCTCCTGACAACTATAACTTCGACAAGCACCAC